ACGAGATTTTCTAAAAACACTATTATTTATCCTATATCTAAATTCCATCCTTCTGTCCATCCATCCATCCACACATCCATCATCCATCCATCTACCCATTTATCCACCCATCACTCATCTATCCATCCACTCCTCTCATCCATCTACCATCCACTCACCTATCCACCTACCTATCACCCATCTACCCATCCACCCATTCACTCCTCCCCCGCTACATTATTTATCCACCCACCCATCCATCCATCTACCCATCCATCGTCCATCTATCCATCCATCCACCCATCCATCCCTCCATCATTCATCCATCATCCATCCATCATCCAACCATCCATTCACCCACCTGTCTACCCATCTACCAACATATCCATCTACCCATCATCCATGCATCCATCCACCGCCCATCCACCCACCTGTCCATCCATCCATCCATCCAATAAACCTTTATTGAGTATATCTTTGCTTAGTTCTGCGGATACAGAAAAAAAATTAGGCCCCTTCTCCGTGCTCACTGAGTTCACAGTCTAGTGGAAAGATATCCATATAAGCCCCATATAAGCCACAAATCATTACTTTTCTTAACCCATTTTCAGACAGTTCTACCTTTTGGCAGCAACAGCTTCCACAGATCACAGATTATGGGATTTTAAGGTTCGTGATCTTAGGTGTCAAAATCTCTTCTACTTTGTTCATTTTACTGATGGGGAAATTGTGGTCCTTATTTATTGTGGAAAGTTCTACACCTTCCTCTGGGTTGCTTCTGAATGGCCTCTCCTGGATTTTAATTTCAGTTCAATTCAGTTAATCTTTATTAAACATCTCTTATGTGCAAGGCCCTGGGCAAGACCAGCAGATACAGTGATGGAGGAGACATCATTGCTGTCCTCAAGAAGGTCACAGGCAGGGGGGAAAGGACACACAAAGAGGTAACGGCCATGCTGCTCGATAAAGACAGGGAGCGAAAATATGGAAGGAGGGCCCCTGATCTGGATTTGGGGAGCTCAGGGGAGGCTTCCTAGAAGGAAGGCCTGTGAGTCATCCCTTGAAGGGCAAACAGAGTCCTGTTAGATAAGGATGTGGAGAAGGGCTGCCAGGCAGAAGGACGCACGGCTTGTCGGAGGACCTAGGAGAAGCTGGTGTTATTGGGGCTCGAGGGGGGAGGCGGTGAGCGGCGCCGAGCGGGCAGGAGGGTCGGGGCAAGGGGCAGCCTGGTGCGGGGCTGGCGGCCACAGGCCGTCTCTCCCTTCCTGGGTTAGTTCCCTGTGCCCCTGAGCTCGGAAGCCCCACCACACCCGCTTGCCTTCACCTCTATACAGGTGCACCTCGATTTACCGCGCCTTGCTTTAGTGCGCTGTGCAGATATCGCTTTTTTTTTTTTTTTTTACTTTACAAATGCAAGGTGTGGCAACCCTGTGTCGAGCAGGTCTCTCGGTGCCATTTGTGTAACAGCATTTGCTCTCTCTGTCTCTGTTTCATATTTTGGTAATTTTTTGCAGTATTTTCAAACTTTTTCATTATTATATTTGTTATTATGGTCTGTCATCAGTGAGCATGACTTGCTGAAAGTTCAGATGATGGTTAGCACTTTCTAGTGAGTCTTTCTTTTTTTAAGATTTTATTTTTAAGGAATCTCTCTGCCCAGCACGAGGCTCGAACTCACGACCCCGAGATCAAGAGTCACATGCTCCCCAATGGAGTCAGCCAGGTGCCCCGCAGTAAAGTATTTTTTAATTAAGGTGTATATATTGGTTTTTTTTTAGACATAATGATATTGCATACTTAGTAGACTATAGTATCGCATAAATGTAACTTTTTAAAAATACTGTTTATTTTTGAGAGCGAGCGACCGAACGGGACAGAGCATCCCAGGCAGGTTCGCGCTATCAGCACAGAGCCTGACGCGGGGCTCGGATTCACAAACCGTGGGATCATGACCTGAGCTGAAATCAAGAGTCGGATGCCTAACCGGCTGAGCCCCCCGGGTGCCCTAAGAGTGAACATGACTTTTATGTGCACTGGGAAACCGGGAAATTCGTTGACTTGCTTCCTTGCAATGTTTATTTCCTCGCAGCGGTCGGGACTAGCCGGAGGTGCCCCTGAGGCGAGCCCGTAGACTAAGAGGCTAATTTGTCTGAAGGAAGAGCCCATCCTACGTTGCGGCTCAAGCACCACCACCTCCATGGGGCCTCCGTGGACTACCTCTGCCTTCCATGAGCTGTACCATCAAGACCACACTTGGGACCTGTGCTGTGGCTCCTCACCAGCCACGGAAGCGTCTGCGATGAGACCGCGAGCTCCCGGGTGCTGCTGGTGGGAGTCCTGTGGTAACGTTTAGTTCAATAAATACCAGCAAGACTGAATCCTAGTGATGTGGATTTCAGGACACATGGAAAGTGCTGGGGCTTTGGGGCTGGACAGACCTGGTTTGATTCCAGCCATGCCACTGGGTACTTGTTAGTAACTGGGGGCAAATTTCAAAACCTGCCCAATGCCTCAGTTTCCTCACCTGCAAAGTGGTCCAAGTCCCTGGGTGTTTTGGGGACCTGTTTGCAGCTGGGGGGCTGGGGGAGGGCTGGGCTTCCCAGCAGGGAGGGAAGCGGCAGGCAGGGGCTGGGGAGCAGATCCCGGCTGGCATCGCCCCTCCCCCAAACCCCGCGAGGCAGGACTGCATTCTGTCAAGTGGGAGGCTCAACCAGCAGGTCGCTGTCTGCCTGTGGTCGCGGGGCCAGCCCGTGGCAGAGCGGACTCGGGCCAGGGCTTCGGCCACTAAAGCCGGGGCTCTGCGCCCTCCCTGCTCCCACAGGGCGGCCACACAGGGGAGCCGATTTGGTGGCGCAGCTGTCGGCTCCAGCCGTTGCCAGCCGGGTCTGCAGGGGACCTTCGGCTCTGGCCCAGTTTCCCCCCACGCTGCCTGTGACAGCAGGACATGGTCTGACAGTCCTTATCTGGACCCAGGGGGCACAGCCGAGAATCGGAGGCGGGAGGCTGGCCCGGAAAGGTCAGCTGGAGCGCGAGGCAGGTCACGGTGGCGGAGTGGGCCCAGAAATGCCCAGGAGCCTGGCCCTGAAAAATGACTCTTCGCAGCCCAGATGCCGTGTCCGGCACTGAGAACCCGTGCTTACGGCACGTTCTGTTACCAACAACGTAGTAATGATAATTTATTAGGAAACCGTTAGCCTAACAGGTGCTCTGTTTGGGGATGGGGGAGGGGAAGGGGAGGGAGGGCAGGGCATGCCAGAGGGAGGGCGGGCTCCGGAGGGCCTGCACGGCCATGGGAAAACACAGGAGACCCGGGCTCGGGCCTGACCCTGGCGCTACGACTTGTCCTGGGGGGCGGGGGTGGAGGGGAATGACCACATCGTTACATGACTGTTGTAACAACAGTCATGCCTGTTGTATGTAACTGCAATTACTCGGGTTTCTGGGGTTGTGGCTTAGATTACAAGTAATATTTAGCTCTTACTCACGGCCAACAGGGATTGCAGAGGTGAGGCTGGCGCACAGAGGGTTCTCTGGACCCATTTGTTGGGAGCTGTGTCCACTTGCCGCTCACTATTCAAGAGAGCTGCTCTAGAAACCCACTGTGTGTGTGCATGCACGCGCGTGTGCTCGCTCGCCAGTGTACATGTGTGCACATGCAGGGGTGTATCTGCGGGGTGTGGGGCTTTCCTGCCCTTCCCCTTCCTCTCTGGGGGGCAGCTGGACAGAGGGAATCATTCCTCCCTCTTAGCCCCACTCCCACTGTGCGGAGGGGGGGGTCCCCCAACCCCTGCTCCCTGCTCCCTGCGTCAGCTGCGCTTAGAGGGGGAATGGGTTCCACTCGGTCCATCTCTCTGGAGCTCCCTTTGCACACAGTGGGCGCTTAATAAATACTTGATGATGGCTCTGAACCTGGGAAGCCGGCAGCTGTGCCAGCCCTGACTCCCAGAGCTCCGAGGGGCACGTCAGGCGGGGGCTGACCACGGGGGGCTTCGGGTCCCCTTCGCACGCCCCGCTGTGGAGGCCGGTCACCGCTCTGCCCCGAGCGCACAGCGGAAGGGCGACCTGGGAGCCGCGGCTGCGGCTGCGGGGGGACCGGGCGGGGCTCCGGCCCCAGCGCCCTCGACCAGCCGGCGGCACCTGGCAGCTTGCTGACCTGTGCTCCTGCGCTGTTTTCTTCTTCGGTTTTCATCTGCAAAGGAACGACGACACCATTTGCATGGGGTCGAGGTGAGGGCTGGCAGTAACAAAAGGCGCCCGCACCCCCACCCGGGGCGCTCGGTAGGTGAGCTGCCCCCCGGGGCTCAGGGGGGTGGGGGTCCCCGTCCGCTCTGCACCCCGGAGCTGTAGCTCAGCGTCCGGGAGCGTCAGGCTGGGCGCCGGGAACACAGGGCGCCGGGGGTGGGCCGCGGTAGACCCCGGCCAGCGGCGGGTGTGGGTCGGCCCGCTCCCCGGGACCCCCGCGTCAGCGCGCGCAGCCCCCCCCCCCCGCCCCGCGCCCCCGCCGGCTTCTGCCACACCTGTCGCCGCCGAGAGGGCCGGCCCGGCGTGGGGGCGGCGGCGGCGGAAACTACAGCTCCCAGCCCTCGCCGCGCGGCCCGGGCCGGGGGCGGGGGCGGGGCCCCGCGGGGGCGGAGTCAGGAGGCGGCGGAGACCCGGGCCGAGCCAATGAGCCGCGCGGCCACCGAGTGGGCGGGGCTCGCGGCGGAGCGCCGGCCGCGGGAGGGGAGCGGAGCTGCCGAGCCCGCGCGGAGCGAGGCTGAGCCCGGCCCTGCGCGCCCGCAGAGGGCCGGCTCCGGAGACGGAGTTCCTTCCCCGCGTCTTCTGGCTCCAGGCCCCTCCTGCCCGGGGCAATGCACCCCTGAGTGGCGGCGTCTGGACCTCGGGCGGCCCCGGAGAAGACTGGGGCCAGGACACCTGCTGGGGGCTTGGATGCCCGGCTTCTTCCTCTGAGGACGTCTTTTGGAGCGAGGGTGGCTTTGGGGTGGGGGGTTGTGCTGCAGGGAATCCAGCCAGGCCCCAAGATGGACACTTCTGGGCACTTCCATGACTCGGGGGTGGGGGACCTGGACGAAGACCCCAAGGGCCCGTGCCCGTCGTCCGGGGACGAGCAGCCGCCGCCGCCGCCGCCCCCAGCAGCCCCCCAGCAGCCCCCGGGACCCCTGCTGCAGCCTCCGCAGCAGCAGCCTCCGCATCCCTTGTCTCTGCTCGCCCAACTCCAGAGCCAGCCGGCCCAGCCCGGCCTGCTGCACTCCTCACCCACGACGCTCAGGGGCCCCCCTTCGGCCAACTCCACCGCCGCCCTCCACCCTTCCTCCAGGCAGGGCAGCCAGCTCAATCTCAATGACCACTTGCTCGGCCACTCTCCAAGCTCCACAGCCACAAGTGGGCCCGGCGGAGGCGGCCGGCACCGGCAGGCCAGCCCCCTGGCGCACCGGCGGGACAGCAACCCCTTCACGGAGATCGCCATGAGCTCCTGCAAGTACAGCGGGGGGGTCATGAAGCCCCTCAGCCGGCTCAGCGCCTCCCGGAGGAACCTCATCGAGGCCGAGCCCGAAGGCCAAGCCCTCCAGCTCTTCAGCCCCAGCAACCCCCCCGAGATCATCATCTCCTCCCGGGAGGACAACCATACCCACCAGACCCTGCTCCACCAGCCCAACGCCACCCACAACCACCAGCACGCCGGCACCGGCCCGGCCGCCGGCAGCGCCACCTTCCCCAAAGCCAACAAACGGAAAAACCAAAACATTGGCTATAAGCTGGGACACAGGAGGGCCCTGTTCGAAAAGAGGAAGCGCCTCAGTGACTATGCTCTGATTTTTGGGATGTTTGGAATTGTTGTCATGGTGATAGAGACCGAGCTCTCGTGGGGTTTGTACTCAAAGGTAGGGCTGCAGTTTCTCTTTATACCTTGAACAAAAGGAATATGTAGGTAGCAACAGAGAGAGGGGAGAGAGAGAGAGATGGAGAGGAAAGAGGGAGAGAAGATTGACGGAGGGCGAGGCGGTGGTGGGGAGGCATTTGCTCAATTAGATGGAACACTAACTTCCCGTGGCTTTCTTCCCTAATCCCGGGAGAATTCATTCCTCGCCTTCTGGGGGGAGCATCCCCTGTGCACTGTGTCTGCTGCAGACTCTGTGTTGGGGAAGATGAAAGAAACCCTTCTGAGAAATCGTTTTCCTCCTGGCTCACTCGTTCCAAAGCGGAGCCCAGCGGCTTAACGCACCAATTAATTACACTCTGCCTTGATGTGCCTGCCAGTCCCCGCGACTCCCCCTCCGCTCCCGCCCTGCTCCACTCCATTTTCCCGAGGATGGAAGAGAAATAAATGTCTGGGTGGGGGGTGGGGACTCCAAGCCTGTCCCTTCTCTGCGGCTTCTCCCTCTCTTCCCAAGTTTCTCTTTTCCTCCTCATCCCTGACAGACTTTGGGCAAAATAGAAATGTACCCGTGACCCGAGTCTCCCGGGGGGCACGGGTGAGGACTCGGGCAGAGGGAACGGCGGTCCTTTCCCTCGGGAAAGAGCACTCAGAATAAAGCTGCTGCCGCCTGACGAAAATGGCTACAGGTGTCCCCGGTACAGCAGGTGGGCGCCGCCGTGGCCTGAGCCCTGGGGAGCACCTCTCCCTCAGATGGGCTGACAGGGCTCCCGGGCCAGTCAGGTGGAGCGTGTGCACACCCGGCTGCGGCTGGGGGGGCTGGGCTTCAGCCTGAGGCTGGAGATCACGGCCTCCGGCGGGGGGTGGGGGGTGGGGGTCCAGGCAGGTGGGTTCCCACTGGCGCTCGGCCAGCTGCGGGCCCTTGGGCTGCGGGCTGGAAGGCTTGGGGCCCCCGGCACTCACTGGACAAGTGGATTTCTTCCCACTCTGCCCCTCACCCCCGATTTGTTGTTGGGGGGGAGGGTGTGTGTGAGTGCGTGTGTGCGTGCTGGCCTGTCCCTTGGATTTCTCTTCCTATTTGTCACTGGGGCAGGGGGTGGCTGGGAGGGGTTCAGCTGTTGAAGGTTTCAAATAGAGCCTGTTTGGGGCTGAGCACAGCTGCTCCGAGGCGGCCACATTCCTCGTTGAGATCCAGCCGCAAAAGCCCAGGAGGCGCTGATCGGATTTCCCGTCCCCAGCCTCTCTCTCCAGCAGGGCACCGGCAGACCTGTCAAGCCACCAGACTCGCTTCCGTGTGGAGGGGCCCCTGGGGGCCGCCGGGGCCGGCTCAGTAGCGCAGGATTGGAGCCCCTCAGGGAGCAGAAGTGAGCGTGTTCCCCGGCAGCAGCTCACTTAGTCATGCCCGAAGCGGCCGCAGCTCTCGGGCCGCCTCTCCCGGGTGCTCGGGGGGAGGGGCTGCCCCCCTCCGCACGGCTGTGGCTCCCTCCAGCCACCCGTGGGGACCAGGAGCCGTCACCGAGGGAGACCGATGAAGGCCCCGGTGCTAGGAGGTGAGGGGAAGGGGCGAGAGCAGCGCGTCCGCGACCCCCGGGGTCGGAGCTCTTCAGGGGCCCCAGCTTGGGGCAGGTCTGTGCGCCGTGGCCTTCGTGGCCTTCGTGCCACGGGAGGGTTGCTGCCGGCAGGAAAGGGTCGGGGCAGCCGCCGCCCCGGGGGAGCCTGCAGGGAGAAGGCCTCACCCCGGGCACGGGGGGCAGTCTGGTGTGGGGCAAGGGTGAGGTGGTCCAAACGTCTGGGCGTCACCCGAACCTAAACCCCTGGCGCTCCAGGCAGCACGAGGGGCCGGGACCAGAGCGCCCAGCTGGCGAGGTGTCCGCTTCGTGTGGCCCTGGGACAGCACTGGTTGTAGAAACAGGGCTTACTTCAACCTGCCACCTGCCAGCCTGGGCCTGGAGTCCTTCCGGAAGCAGTTTCCGGGTGTCTCCGGTACCAGGGCCTGGGGACCCGGGGGACGGGGGTGAGGTGGCTGCCCCCCTCCTTTCCATAGGGCACAAACAGGATCCTTTTTGGGCATCAGCGTGAAGTTGGAATCCCAGCTCGGTCACTCCCAGAGCCGTGGTCTCAGACAAGCCACGCAGCTTCTGTGAGCCCGTCTCCCGGGCTGTCAGCGGGGAGAGCGGGTTTGCTAAGTGTAAGGCTCCGACCTGGGGCCTCATGTCATGGTTATGAATAGTGGTGATGAGCGCAGAGGGTCTTCCCCCCAACTCCTGCTCCAGAATCAGCTGGGCCCTTAGCACGTGGGATCCAACACCCGTCAGTGGCATGAGGAGTTGCGTCTTGTCAGGGGCAAGTTCTGAGAAGGGCCTGGGTCTTCTCCTGGGAAGCACCTCTGATCCGGGCCTGTTGTAGGAGGCGCACGTCTGCCCCCAGGCTCTGTGGTGGCAAGAGGGTTTGCTCTTGGACGGGGTGTTGCCCGGAGAGCTGGGCCACTCTGTCTTTTGCTGGAGATCTCTGGGTGTCCGGTCGGCTTTGCTGCTCAGCATGGACATAGCCCTGGCGGGTTGGGCAGTGTGGACATGGCCCGGGTGTGTTGGGCAGCGTGGATGTGGCCTGGGTGGGCTTGGCAGCGTGGACATGGCCCGGGTGGGTTGGGCAGTGTGGATGTGGCCTGGGCAGGCTTGGCAGCGTGGACGTGGCTCTGGCGGGTTGGGCAGTGTGGATGTGGCCTGGGTGGGCTTGGCAGCATGGACGTGGCCCATGTGGGGTTGGCAGCATGGACATGGCCCAGGTGTGTTGGGCAGCGTGGATGTGGCCTGGGTGGGTTGGGCAACGTGGATGTGGCCTGGGCAGGCTTGGCAGCGTGGACGTGGCCCAGGGCGGGTTGGGCAGCTGTGCACTGATTGAGCTCTCTAGTCATGGGCCCTTGGGAGGGACTCGCTTCTTCCCAGGCAATCAAGGGCCACTGATGGGGGCCAGAGCTGCAGCTTTCTGCAGCTTTCTGTTTTCGTCCACGAGGCTGTGGACCCCCACTTGCATCTTGGGCTGATAGCTGTTGCTGGGGAGGAACGGGCCACGTGGGGCTGGCTCTCTGGAGAAGGAACGTGGCATGCCTCGCTCAGAGTTCATGCGAAAGGGAGCCAGCGTGAGGAGGTAAGAAGTCGGGCACAGGGGGCCCTTGGTCCCCTCCTTGCAAGCCTGAAGTGACGCCGGGAGAGGGGGGTGGGCCGAAGTGGGGTCCAGATGGCAGGAGGGGCTGGGCCAAGGACCCACCAGCAGACAAGTGCCAGAAGCAGTCTTTGTGGGCTCCGACTGGTTCGGGGCTACCCCTGAACTGAACGAGGAGTCTAGGTTTAAAAACCAAAGAGGTGGATTTATCTCCAGGCCTTAGACGCGGTGACAGGGCCGGGGTTAGAAGTGGTGCCCAGAACTCCCAGGGGTGTGGTCTGTCGGGACGGAGGCGGCCAGGCTTCGGGGAGGCCTTGGCATTCCGGGCTCCTGCAGAGCTGGCCCGAGGCACGCCGACCGCTGTGCTCTGTGCACTGGGACTGCAGGGCCCGGCCCGCCCCTCCCCTCCCCGAGCTGCCGCTGGGCTGTCCAGCTGGCCGGTCCCTGGGGGCCTCCCCTCAGGGACCCTGGTGTGGGCTGTGACCAGCCGGGGGGCGGGGGGGGCGAAATGCTGCTACCACAAGGCAGCTACCCCCCTCCCCCGTGTGTGCCCCCCCAGCTCACCTCCTGGGCGCAGCTGACCCTCCACCGCCTGCGCCTGCCTGACCGGCTTCCCCTGGGCCCCGGGCACGGAGTCCGTGGGCTGGTGTCCCCGCTGCCCTACCTGCCCCCACGAGGCTTCCGCTCTCACCTCTAGATGCTCTTCCTCCTTCAGAACTCCTGCCCTCACCCCCCCCCCCGCCCCGCAGGGCAGGCCGATGCCCTGGGGAGCCTGGTGTCCCAGCCACTTACTCTACAGAGGAAACAGGGTCCCCTAGGGCCAACTTGTCATGTGTCTTTGCCGGCCTCACTGAGGTCAGGTGTCCACCTCAGCCTCCAGCCTGAGTGACTGAGCAGGTTCGTGGGTCCCCAGCTTGGGGAGCCCCTGTGTGCTGAGTGCAGAGCAGTGGCAGGGCCTGGCGCGGTGACCGCCTGTACCTCCCCCAGGCCCGGGGGCTGCTTTGGGTTGGGGTGCCTCGGGGCCCGCGTCTGGTTTCCTGCGTGTTGGCATTGCTGAGCGGGACAGAGCCCTCCGTGGATCCCCTGCGTCACGGCCCGCAGGGCACGGTCGCGGGAGGCCAGAGGGTCGGAGCCCAGATGCCTGCTTTGCACGGAGGTCACACCGAGGGTGTTGTCCCACGGAGGGCATGAGCCGCGCTGAGAGCGTGGAAACGAGGTCCTGCGCCCACCCGGGTGGCGGCAACCTTATTCATGACCTCTGCACAGCCCATGGATGAGTCAACGTTTGTGACCCCAGGGGGGACAGACTCAGCAGTACATGCCCCTCGGCGTGTCATCACGCCGTTTGTAACTGTGTGGGAGACCCCCTTCCCCCACCCCTGCAGCGTCCGGCGCTGGCTGTGTGGCTGCTGCGCGGGCTAATTGGAAAGGTGGGGACCCCCTTGCCTGCCCCCGACGGAGCAGGTGGGGCACCGGTGCAGCCGCGGTCCAAAGACCCGCTTCAAAAAATAGAAGGTAGAGAAACACAAAATGAAAAGAAATCAGAGTAACCTCCGTAGAGGAGCCGGGGCCTGGATGGAAATGTAAAATCAGAAGAGAGAGCTTTGCTTTTGCAGCAGTTATTTCATTTGTAAAGCACATTTGGGGGAGAAAATGAGTATGTATGAGAGAGTGAGGTTGTGAGGGGGCGTCGTGGTGAAACACTGCTGTACTCGGCGCAGGCCAGCCCTTCATTCGGACCTGTTTTTCTTCTCTCTCTTTCAAAACCCCAAAGGCAGAGAGAGAAAAGAACCACCTATTCCTCTTTAAATAATGAAGGGGAGGGATTCTGAGGCCACGCTGTTC